GTTTCAGGAAGGAAGGGGTTGAGCAGCGGTGTCTAAAACTGCTGAGAGGTTGAACAAGCTCAGAACCGGGACCACACTTTGAATTTGGGGATGGACGTGGAGATTACAGAGAACTTTGGCAAGAGATGTTTCGGTCGTCTTTCAAGTGAGAAGGGGAGGAGAATGAGTGGTGCTGGTGGGTGCAGACCACTCTTCTCAGGAGTTTAGCTCTACTCAGGGGCAGGATGAGCTGGAGGGAGATATGTGGGAACAGTTGTTTTTCAAGTTGGGAGACAGTCTGCTCACGGGAACCGTCCTGTAGGGACAGTCTTTATTCCTTTAGTAATTGGTGGTCTGTGTCCTGTTTGGATGACCCACTTGCCTTATGGAGAGAGGACCATGTTAATGGAAAGAACACCAACTTCACCCACATGCTGAGCTGGACTAGACTTTCACTTCCCACCACTTCCGGCTGTGTGATCTCTTGAATGTGTTTCCTCACCAGTAACGTGAGATTATAGCCCTTACCTCCTGGGATGGCTGAGAGTATCAATGAGGGAATATTCATAGAGAGCCTGGCATGATGCTTGGCACATAGGAGATACTCAACATTACAGAAAACTAATCAGCCTGACTGTGGTCTTCCAGGAGCTTTCACCTCAAGGCAGATGAGCTTCACAATTTCAAAGTATGCTAAACACATAGAGACAGCAGACTGTCTCAGTGTAGCTCACAAAAGGCCAGATGTTTTCAGGGGCAACAGAACTGGAATAAGTGCATATGGTTATGGTGGGTGAGTCCTCCCAGGAGCAGGAGATGATGGCAGAGTCCGAGCTAAGTCTGCTTGGCCTGTGTGTGTGACAATTGCACACAAGCGGATCAGCCCTGGGAAAGGCTGCTTGAAACGAAGGGAGAGCAGCCAACGGAGCATGAGAGGGGACGGAGGTAACTCATCAAACTCAGGGAAGATGTGGACATGGAAGATGTCTGTCTTGGCACTCTGGGCAACTGGCCGAGCTCTCAGCAGGGGTGCCAAAGAGAGCCAGTGCTCAGGATTGTTTGGGGGAGAGAAGAGGGCACTGCCAGTCACCCTCACCCTGGGTTAGTTGTTGTTCAGTCGTTAAGTCATGTCTGACTCTTTGCAACCCCATGGACTGCAGCTCACTAGGCTCCCCTGTCCTTCATTATTTCCCAGAGCTCGCTCAAACTCAATGAGTCGGTGATGCCATCCAACCATCTCATCCTCTGTCACCTCCTTCTCCTCCTGCCTTCAATCTTTCCCAGAATCAGGGTCTTTTCAGTGAGTCAACTCTTCACATCAGGTGGCCAAAGGATTGGAGCTTCAGTATCAGTCCTTCCAATGAATATTCAGGACTGATTTCCTTTAGGATGGACTGGTTGGATCCCCTTGCAGTCCAAGGGAGTCTCAGAAGTCTTCTCCAGCACCACAAAAGCATCAATTCTTTAGCACTCAGCCTTTTTCATGGTCCAACTCTCACATCCACACATGACTACTGGAAAAGATATAGCTTTGACTATATGGACCTTTGTTGGCAAAGTGTTGTCTCTGCTTTTTAATACACTGCCTAGGTTTGTCATAGCTTTTCTTTCAAGGAGAAAGCATCTTTCAAATTCGTGGCTGCAGTTACTGTCCACAGTGATTTTGGAGCCCAAGAAAATAAAGTCTGTCACTGTTTCCACTTTTCCCCCATCTACTTGCCCTGGGTTAGTCGTGGGACACAAAAATGAGGCTGGTGGTAGGGCCAGTAGATCTTTCAGTCCTTGGAAAGGAGGCAAAGGAATGATGAGCCAAGTGCTGTGAAAGGAAATATGCAAAGAGCATGACTGATCCTAGATCAGAACACCTGATCCTGCTGGAGCGGGCGAGACACTGGGGTGGCCACACTACTAGCTGCACTGCTTTCTAGCTGTGCCGCCTGGGGCAAGAGTCATCTCCGTTTTGAGCCTGGGATTCCATGGGAAAGTCAGACTCCGAGCTGGGGGGAGTTTGGCCAGCACCACCTCCTGAGCCACCAGCATTTCAGATGGTGGCTGCAGAGAATGTGCTGGACGGTAACCGAGTCAGACCCTCTTAACTGGCAGGGGGAAAGGACCAGGGGAGGTGCTCCTGTGTTTCACTGGCAGGGAGGCAGAAATGTCATCTTCACGCCCATCAGTCAGTGGTCAGCACAGATCTACCTACTAAGCACCCGCCCCGCCAGGCCCTGCCAGGCAGGAAGGGGCAGTGGGTCCTCAGTCACCCAAGGTGAAGAGGGCACCCAGCCTGCAGCCAGGGTGTGAGGGCACAAGCAGGAGATCGCCCAGGAGGGAGCAGAGCATTCATTAGCCACAATTCTTCAGGCGTATTATGTTTTCCAAAAGCACTTCTGGCCCATTTTGATCCTTCTAAACTCCCCTGTGACCCAGAAAGATGAATACTATTGTCTCTATTTTTCGATTGGGGAACCAGGACCAGAGAAGCTAAAAGGGACTTGCCTAGCATCACACAGTTTTTCAGTGGCAGAGATAAAGCTAGTAGTACCCCTAAGTATCTTGTAAGTGAAAGCACTTTTTAAACAGTGAAGTGTGATACCCCAGGGAAGTTTCTAGTTAGTTCTTAATGGAGGCTGGGGTGGGTTCCTGAGCCTTGCTGCTCTCCCCACATGCCTGGGAGTTGCTGGACTGTGGGGGGCCATAGAGGTGGCAGAAGCCCTGGGTGGAGAAGCTGTGCCTGGTTAGGGAACTCGACTCCAGAAGCAGGATCTGGATTCCAAAGGGCTTTGGGACATGGGTGAGGAAAGGTCATTGGGGTAAGAGAGGATGTTTTGGTAGAACAGACTCAAGACCACAAGTAACAGACGGGATAAGAGTTTCCAAGGGAGATGTGAGCATCATTCTGGATCTTAAAGCGGGTCTGGTCCAGTGTAGGGAGGGCTCGGGGTTGGGGGGGCCCAGCCAGGGTGGAGGAGTGAGCAGGTCCTGGGGGCAGCTGCGTGACCCTGAGCAGCTCACTTCCTGTCTTTGATTCTCAGCTTTTCATTTGTCAGTGGAGGGCCTTGCAGTCCCTGGTCTCCAGGGCTGTGTGGCTCTGACACTCTGTGTGGCCTTGAGGATCCTAAGGCTCAGAGACCTGACTCAGGTGCTCCTTGGGATCAGAATGACTCCTGGATCCTTCTTATAGAGGAAGCCCTGCATGAGGCTGGGAGGGGGCTTCCCTGGTGGCTCAGCCGTGAAAAATCCACCCACCTTGCAGCAGACACAGTAGACACAGGTTCCGTCCCTGGGTCTGGAAGATTCCTTGGAGGAGGAAATGTCAACCCACTCCAGTATTCTTGCCTGGAAAATCCCATGGACAGAGAAGCCTGGAGGACTACAATCCATGGGGTCGCAAAGAGCTGGACATGGCTTAGCAACTTACCTGGGAAAAGCCAAGCCCAACCTGGAGAAGGCAGTCAGTCCTTTGGGAATAACTAACTGCTGAGTGGCCGCCCCATGCAGGCAGCCTGCATTCTCTCAAACACCAGCTCTCTGGGTGATTCCATGAAGCTAATTAGAGTCCATGAATCTAATTCCATGATTTAGAGGTGAGGACACAGGCTCCACAGCCAGCCAGCTCAGGCCTGTCCCTCCCGGGGCTGCAAGAAAGCTGGGGTGTGGGCTAGACAGATCTGATAGGAAAGCACCCAGACCCCGGGCTTCCTAGCCTGGGGTAGGTCACCTCTCTGTCTTGGTTCCTTATCCGTGAAGGGGCGCCCACCGTGAGGGGTTGTCTACGATTAGAGAGGGATGAGGCCTAGACACCCTCGCCTGGAGTTTCCACTCTGGGCACCGGTAGTCCCCTGCCCCTCTACATCACTCCTCGCTGTCCCTGGTGGAGGGATCGGAATTAGGGACTGGACTGTACCATGGCTCTAGGCCCGGCTAGCTTTGGGGGACTCGCAGGCGGCCCCAGGACAGCCAGATCCACGTGACTCTGGACTGCCCAGCTCCGAGTACCGCGGTGGGCGGTGAGGGGATGGGGGTGGGGGGAACAGCATCAGGAACCACAGGGCCAGCAGCGCCCACCGGCCCCTTGAGGGCAGGCCCCTCCCCTAGCTGGCAGCCGCGGGGCCGCGGGCCATACCAGGGCCCACGCCCGAGCGGGCGCACAGGGCGGCATTGTCTGCAGCGCCTGGCACCCTCTCGTTTGCATAGCCACGTGAAGAATGCGAGGGAGCGGGCGGGGCTGCCCCCGCGGAGGGGTTCTGGGTGGAGGGTGCCTGGAGCCCAGGGTCTGCGGCAGGACCCTGCCTTCCCCCAGGGCAGCATGGGGAAAGGCGAGTGGGACGCTGGGGTAGGAGGGGGTGCGGGGGCGGGGGCTGGCGGGGGCTGGCGGAGCGGGAACAGGATTTTGACATTCCCCGGCACCCACGCCTGGCGAGCCGAACTGAACGTGAGGGGATTGCTAATGAGGTCGACGAGAGTTAAACATTCCCTTGCTCCAGAGGGCTCAGCTGGGACTGGAGAGAGGAGGGGGTGAGCGCTAGAAGGGGGCAACCTGAACCCCAGGAATGTGCAGAGGCCACTGCTCCCCACCAGGCTGTTCTGGAGCTGGGGGCCAGGGCCTGGTGACTCAGGCTCCAGCAGGAGTGTTAAACCAGCCAGCAAAGGGATTAGCAGCCTGAGCAGTCTGCCCTCCTTCAGGCTGATGCCAAAGGTTGGTGATATCTCTCACCTCACTGCCAGGCTCCTGGCTGGCTGGCGGCCAGCTCTGTCCCAGCCTTCATGGGGTCCCTCTTCTGCCCCCCCCCACCTCAGATCTCAAACAGACCCCTGTTTGAGGGAGTCTGGCCCTCTCCTGTTTTGATACCCATGGCCCCAGGGACCCAGGACCTCTCTCCCCAACACCCCCTCCCCAGCCCAGTCTCTCCATAGCTGACCTCAGAACCTGCTCCAAAAAGTTCTCCTTGATGTCTAACCCTAGTCTTACCTCCTGCACATTGGAATCCCATTCTCTTTCCGTCCTACAGGCAGGGGACAGAAAACCCCAAGGCTCAGATCAACTGTGCGATGGCAACGTCCATCATCTCAGGGCTGATGCTTGGGGTAGGAATTAGAATTTTAGGGCACTTGTATCAGCTTCTAAAGGGGTTCCCCTAGGGGAAAGGCCCTGAGAGCCAGCCCAGGTCACTCCTCCCAGCCCCTCCTTTCTCTATCCCTGGGGAGGGGAACCCACCTTGGCCACGCCCCACCCCACCCCCCACCCCCCACCCCCAGGGGGCTGGGCAGGAGGAGCTTTGCTGGGGACCTTGCCCAGGCTTAGGCGGCTACTGTGGGCGGGCCCCTGGCCTTTCCAGCCTGGGCCTCCCCCTGCATTCTAGAGCCTGGAGCCGCTGCCGGTGCTGCTGCCGCTGCAGGGCTGCCGCCTCTCCTCCTCAGCCTCTGACCACCTGCTGCACCCCACCCCCCACCCAGCTGCTCCTGTCACCTGGCCATGACCTCGGCCCCCCCAGGGATCCTGGCCCAGCCCTGAGCCCTGGAACCCCCAGTCCCCTCCCTTGGCCATGGCCAACTCCGGCCTTCAGCTCCTGGGCTACTTCCTGGCTATGGGTGGCTGGGTGGGCATCATCGCCAGCACAGCCCTGCCGCAGTGGAAGCAGTCCTCCTACGCGGGCGACGCCATCATCACCGCCGTGGGCCTCTACGAAGGGCTCTGGATGTCCTGCGCCTCCCAGAGCACCGGTCAGGTGCAGTGCAAGCTTTATGACTCGCTGCTCGCCCTGGAAGGTAGGCCTCATGCCCGCTGGGATGGGGAGGTGGGAAGTGGGGGTGAGGGGCCCAGAGCAGGCTTTCCCACAGTCTGCCATCTGCCCTGGGCTGCACTCGCCAGCCCCTGCCCCCGTGCACTCGTGAAGAACCAGGTCAACCTGTCCCCTGACCGGGAACAGGGGCTCTAGGTTCTGGCAACTGTGGGTCCACATGCCAGCTCTGCCACTGTAACCTTGAAGGAGTCACTGACCCTCTATGTCCTCATCTGGAAAGGAGAGGACTAGGACTCTCGCAGGACTCTGGGAGGATCAGAGAAGATGACTGCCAGCACTCAGAGGGGCTCAGTCAAGACCCTTCCCTCTGTTTCTCCCCACACCCTGTGCAGACACACTGTGTGCACATATCTACGTGATAGTCCTGCCACGTAGACAAGTATGCGGGCCCTTGGGTGCACACACACACACACACACACACACACACACACACACACACTGATTCAATGGACATGAACTTGAGCAGACTCCAGGAGATGGTGAGGGACAGGGAAGCCTGGCATGCTGCAGTCCACGGGGTCTCGAAGAGTCGGACACGACTAACACATATGCACGTCCACACACAGGCACTTGAGTAGGCAGGTAGTCCTCCTCCTGAGGTGTGGGGCTGAGCTTGACAAGTTGGCTCGTAAACAGACACCACTTAACTCTACCCTGGCTGGGAGCCCACCCACCGCCCTCTGCCCAGGGCCCCACAGGCCTGAGCCAGGCTGCTGTCACATGGCCCCTGCCACTGCAGACCAGACAGGTCATCTGGCCTCCATCAGGGACCCAGATGCCCTGAGCTGCCCCTGGACCCAGGACTGCCCCCAGCAGCAGGCATCCAGCTGCCATGGGTGACTCAAGGGGCAGAGGGAAAGCTGACCAGCGTCAGATCCCTCAGCACCTCCTTCTGTTGGATCTGAAAGGCCCCAGGAGAAGCTGCCTCCCAACCCCACTGCCTGCGAGGCCTGTGCCAGGCCCCAAAGGGAGTCGCCTGGCCAGAAAACAGCAGATGGGAGAACTCATGCCCCCCGTCACCACACACTATCCAAAAGAACCTGCAAGCGAGGATGAACGGTGGAGACACTGGTGTGGCTCAGCTCCACACCCTGCTCTCACACCCTCCCCATCCCCTCACACCTACAGCAAGTAGCACCTCCAGCTTCAGCTCCAGGCCCCCCATCTTGGGCTCCGGCTCAGTCCCTCCCACTCCACTCAGGTCACATCCAGTCGGCGCGAGCCCTGATGGTGGTGGCCGTGCTCCTGGGCTTCGTGGCCATGGTCCTCAGTGTTGTTGGTATGAAGTGCACTCGGGTCGGAGACAGCAACCCCATCGCCAAGGGCCGTGTGGCCATCGCTGGGGGTGCCCTCTTCCTCCTGGCGGGTAAGTGCCCAGCTCCTCCCCCCATCTTGACTGTAGCCAGCAGCCCCATGCTGGGTGGCCATCTGGGGGCCGGAGCAGAGCTGAGACCTCCCTCCCCTGCCCTTAGGCCTCTGCACTTTGACGGCCGTCTCGTGGTATGCCACCCTGGTGACCCAGGAGTTCTTCAACCCCAGCACACCTGTCAACGCCAGGTGAGTGCCGGGGCATGGCTTGAGCCATGGCTGGGCCTCCCGCTCCACCTTCTCTGAGGCCACTGGCCTTCGTCCCGCAGGGCACCTGGTGGGGAAACTAGGGACAGGCCCCAGGGGCTGTGGCTGAGTTCTTTGGCGTGGGGAGCAGACAGCATGTGGCTGGGCCCTCCAACGGGGCGGAAAGCTGATGGAAGCCACCCCAAGGGGTAATGCCCTGGCTCTGGATTTAAATCCCAGCTCCACACAGGCTGGCTGTGTGACTGGCAATTCCTTAATCTTTCTGTGCCTGGTTTCCTGCCCTGGAACATGCAGCTAGGACCAGGGATGCAGCTCAGTGTGATTGTGAGGGTTCTATGAGATGGTGCAGGTAAGGGACCTAGCTCAGTGCCTGGGTTGTTATTTCTGTAGGAAGCACAGGGACTTGGAGCCAAAGAGGTGAGGTTGGAAAAGTCTTAAGGGCAGGTAGCAGAGGCCCTTGCAGCCATAGGAAGCTTTCTTTTCCCCATCTTCAGGTAGAAGGCAGGACAATCCCTCTGGCTGTGGTGTGAGAAAGATGGGGAGTGGGCAAGGCCAGTAACATTCTGTTGTAGAGGTCTGGAGCAGAGGGCTTGGGGCTGAATGGCAGAGATATTTGGAGGCTAAAATGGTCAAGACTTGTAAGGTCAAGGTGTGGGGGCCAAATAAGGGGCTCTGTGAAGGGACTGACCCCTCCCCTTACCTCTCAGCTCTGCCAAGAGCAGAGAATGGGACAGTCTCAACCCCAGTTATCCCAACAGACCTTGAGGCCTGGGGTGGAGGGAGGATGAGGAGAGGTGGCTGGGTGGTTGCAGTCTGGAAGGCTCCCTGGAGGAGGCAGCAATATGGAGAGGGGAGGAAAAGATTTCAGTAGTGAGGTTCATTCCCCGAGGCTGGCAGCTGTAACCACGAAAATCTTCCCAGCAAGAGGTAGCACAGCTCAGAGATGCCAGGATGGCATTCACCCTGCCCCTTCAGCACTCCTCAAGGTTGCCCGAATTGCAGGCCCTGTGCTGGGTCCTGGGGACATGGACGAATCTGGTGCTGTCTGCCCTCAAGGTGCTCTCCGGGGAGCCAGACCAGCAAGAAATGATCAGCCACCATGTGAGAGTCAATGCTAGGTGGCGAGCAAAGAGGAGTCAGGGAAAGCTGCCGGAGGCGGTGGCATCTGCACTGGGTCCTAGAGGCGGAGGGGACGCAGGTAGCAGGACGCTCCAGCAGGGGGCGCCTCGGGCCCTAAGGTGGGGAGACCTGGGCGCAGCAGAGGGGACGCCGGGCTGCCCCGCCCCGCCTAGGGGTGGAGAGGCGGGAGTGCTAGGTGGAGCAGGCGGAGGAGTCTGGCCTTCTCCAGAGGGCGGCGAGAGCCCAGTTGGCGAGTTCCGTGGGCCAGACCATGACCAAGAGAGGTGGCTGGACTGCCCCGTTCCTCCCGTCCCTGGCGGCCTGGCGGGGACCACCCCCCCCCACCCCACACTCCCTTGCACTGGCCAGAGGAGGAAAGGGGCCCGAGGTTACACAGAGCAGACCAGCTTGGACCTGGGTCGCTCTGAGTTGGTGGTGCTGATGTGCTGGGGCAGGGCCTGAAGAAAGGATGTGTGTTCATCCCAACTTCCCCAGATGTGCGTTCATTCACCCCAGCTTCCCCAGAGAGCCCGAGGAGGCTTGTGAGGCCCCAGCCTCTGCTCCCCACGCCCTGCCCACCCTCCGCTCTGCCAGGCAGAGGCTGGGAGCCCCCCGGGGGAGGTCGGGGCGGGGCAGGGTCGGCACAGTCACACCTGACGCTGTCCTCCACCCCTCGCAGGTACGAGTTCGGCCCGGCCTTGTTCGTGGGCTGGGCAGCCGCCGGCCTGGCCCTGCTGGGCGGCTCCTTCCTCTGCTGCACGTGTCCGGAGCCCGAACGAACCAACAACAGCCCGCAGCCCTACCGGCCGGGTCCCTCTGCGGCTGCCCGAGAGTACGTCTGAGCTTGCCCAGCATCCGCTGGCCCGTGCAGCACCCCGGGTGGGGCCAGGAGGGCTCAGGGGCTCCCCCAGGTCGGCTAGGGCTCTGAGCAGCTTGTCCCCAACCTAGGCACCCAGTCTGCGTTCTGAGACTCAGACCCGGACATTCAGAGAGGCGGGAGGCCAGCCCCAGCCCTCCTGCGCCGCTGGGGCCAGGGCCTGGGCCAGGTACAGGCAGGGACCTGTCCACACCCCAGCCAGCTGCAGTTCCTTTCCTGGCCACTTATTTACTCACCCATGGGTCGACTGACTACTCTGTGCTGGGCCTGGAGGACGCAGCAATAAAGACGCCCTGGGGGTGGCCAGAGCCCATTGTCCCCCTGCCCCACGGGGCTTCTCACAACCCCAGGAAGGAAGTAGCGCCAGAATGACACTTGTCCCGGATTACACACAAGGAAGTGGGTTCAGAGAGACCAGGAGGCGTGGCCCTGCTGCCTCTGAATTCAGGTCTTGCAGTATGCCTGGAGCTGCGTGGACACACACAGATGACTGAGCCAGGCCATGTCACTCTTGCCCCAGAAATGAGCTCCTGCTGCAGGGCTGCTGTGAATTCCACTTGCCAGTCCCTGAGTCTGGGCCTGAATCCCACAGCCCCTGCCCCAGCCCCACTGCCCTCTGTTCACCCCACTAATTAGCTCTCCTCTCTTTTGACTTTCAGACCAGTTGTTAAATTGTCTGCCTCCACCAAGGGCCCCCTGGGTGTGTAATGTCCAGGTCCCCAGCCTGGCTCTGCCCCGCCTTGCCACATCTAGACTATGTGCTTGATATTTTTTGGAAAGAAAAGTGAACATCCAGCTCTGAGTGTGGTGTCATTTGATCCGTCTCTGGTATGGCAGAGCTGGACCCTGGGATCCTTGGGCACAAAGACGGGGAGACAGGTCCAGTAAGGGTTACACAGCACATCCAAGCTGGTCAGGATCCTCCCTGACCCTCCTTAGGTTGGCACCAGCACCTCCTTGGTCAGAGACGCAGCCCTGCTGCTCTGGCTGTCCCGGAGCCCTCCTGGGAAAGGGGGTGATCCCAGGGAGACCCTCTCACTTGGTGCTGGGGGCCAGAGCCGGGTGAGAGACCCGGAGGAGGAGTTGGCTGCCTGGAGAAGTGCCGGGAAGGACGTTAGGGCGTTGCAGGAGTGTCGGAAGCTCTGCTCCCAGCCCAGCGCTGCTTCCTCTCCCACACCCACCCCTCTTGTCTCCAGTCTGCTGAGACCCCAGGGTTCCTGCCCTGGAACCGGAGTAGGGAGGGGCAGCCTGAGGCTGCCTGAGTCAGCCGCTGGAGCTCTGGCCTCACACAGGGCTGTGGGCAGAGGTGGAAGGGCTTTAGGTCTTGACGTACAGTTATCACCTCCTTCATACAGAAGCAAGTGTGTGCGCGGGCTGTCGCTCAGTCGTGTCCCACTCTTTGCTACCCTTTGGACTGCAGGCCGCCAGGCTCCTCTGTCCACAGGATTTTTCAGGCAAGAATACGGGAGTGGGTTGCCATTTCCTTTTCCAATAGAAGCGAGAGACGTCCTCAAAGGAATATAGGGAAAATTAACCCAGATGAGCCCCTGCTCTCATACTCAGGTGTTGCCCACCTGAGACATCCTCCCGAGACCCTGGGCCTCTCTCTGGCCTCTGCCCTCTGTCTCTCCCAACCAGAAGGAGCTGACCACAGCTCTCGGAAAGAACTGTCCCTTGCCTTCCCCTGCCAGTTCTCTTTTGGCTTCCTCCACCACCCATCCAGTGACATCTACCCAGTCACGGATCCCAAGGACAAAGCTCAACCGTCTCCCCCTGACGTGCTTCTGAGAGGTGAAGTCAGACGAGATGACCGTCCAGCTCCAGAAGGGTGGGGAGAAGCAGACGGCAGAGTTGCTGTGGGATCGTCCACAGGTGGCCTGGCCTGGCGGCAGCTGCACATACATGGGGCGCCTGAGGGGCTAGAAGGGGTAGGTGGCTGCGCCTACATGGGTTCACCAGAGCCCTGCCTCTCGAACGAGGTGAGAGGTGAAGGAGAGCTGCGGAAGAGCCTCTCTGGGTGCCTGACACTGTAACACTGTAACGTAGGGGTTCTTGGCTCTGCTCGCACATTCGAGTCGCCTGGGGAGCTGATGTCCAGCCCTCCCTGCCGCCTCCAGGCATCCCAACCTAGTGGTCTTGAGGTGGCCACGTGGTGGACCTGGGCACCAGAGGTCAGCACATGAGGGCACTTCTGTGAGGCCTGAAGCTCGGGGCTGTGGCAGCCACGTTTCTTGCCCCTCTGAGGCAGTCTCGAAAGGCAGGTAAAACAAGAGGCGAGAAAGACGAAAGGAAGCCCGTCTTCCTCTGCCTTTCCCGAGACCAGGCCATTCTGTGAGGACACCACACCCTCCCAGTAAATAAATAAACCCCTTTCTGCTGAAACGGTTTTGAGTTTGACTTCTGTCACACAGAGCCATGTTCAGGGACCACCAGACGCTCAGGGCTGCGTAGGAAAATGTTGGGATAGCGTGTGCTGGCTGCTTCAGGGCTGGGCTGTGTGGGGGACAAGCGCCAGGCCAGCGGGTGGCCCCACAGCCGGGTGGGAGCAAACTTCCGTGTGATCCTTTGTGAAGGGAAGCCTTTTGCGCCCATAGCCGAAGACTGGACAGGTGGAGAGTCAGACGACCGCTCACAACCCAATGGGTCCTGGCAATGGGAGGATGCCTGGGAAGAACTCAGAGTTTGCAGCTAGAAGAGTTTGGGAAGCCTAATCCCCCCAGGCTTCTTCTCTTTCAAATGTTTACATCACGGTCACCTTGTCTGCCAACCTGTGACAGGGTCAACTGTCCAGGCCTCCTGTTTCCTATCCCAGCCGCAAGGCTAGAGGACTGAGAGGAGACCCAGGTAGGTTGTGCTGTTAATATTTTACTAGCAGAGTTCTTTCAAGGATGAAATTAAGTGTTAGTTGCTCAGTTGTGTCCAACTCTTTGCAACCCCATGGACTGAAGCCCTCCAGGTTTTTCTATCCATGGAATTCTCCAGTCAAGAATTACTGGAGTGGGTTGCCATTCTCTTCTCCAGGGGATCTTCCTGACGCAGGGATCAAACCCAGGTCTCCTGCATGGCAGGCAGGTTCTTGACCGTCTGAGCCATCAGAGAAGCTAAGAATGAAATTGGCAGGCCATAAAAGATGGTTTGGGGAGGGATATACCTGTGCCCTCAGCCTCAAAGGAAAGCCGGAGTACCAAGGTAACAGATGTTCAGCTGAGGGGTGTGAACCAGGTGCTGGAGTATCTGACCAGACACTCATCTATTGCCTGCATCTGAGAGTATAGATAGAACTGAGTATTAGATGATGTCAAGGAATTATGGTTAATTTTGTGTCATATGTATTATTCATCTTATGTGATAATGACACTGGTTGTCATTTTTAAGCCTTGTCTGTCAGACATGCACACTGAAACAATGTAATGGCTGGATTTTCTTTAAAAATACTCTAGGAATAGAAAAGTCAGGGGCAGGGAAAATTTTTTAAATAAGATTGGTAAATGCCAGTGGTACTTAGGGGTTCACTCTATTTTTCTCTGTGTTTAAAAATGAAAAAAAAAAATCAAAATGTTAAAAATACATCCAAGATTTGCTGGTTTGTAATTTTATATACTTCCCATTGGAATAAAGGTGATGAAGACTCTTGTCACTCAAAGCAGAGTCTTCCGGCCACAAGCATCACATCACCCCAAACCCTGTTAGAAGTGCAGAATTTCAGGCTCCACTCCAGACTAGGAGAAACAGATTCAGCATTTTCAGGAGATCTCTGGGTGATTCTGGAGCATTTCGGAAAGGCAGGTGTAGGCTAGTGAGAGCTGTGTGTTGCTTCTCCTTTTCAGGATGAGAATTTCAACTGAGCTACCATTGATTAACTAGATATAATGAAAGTGGTTCAATTTAAGATTTTGTCTAGAGGTGGAAAGATTGTGGGGAACACAACTAAACCTGATCCAGGCAAAATTGGACATGAAGAATGGACAACACCCATAGAAGTGCTTCCTGATCATCTCTCCTCAGAGAGCACGTAAAACTAATACTTAGTTCAATTTATGAGAATATTGTAGGCAATTTTATTCTGGATACTATATAGTCTTGTTAAAAACAAGTAGAAATGTGGAGGAAACAATCACTCTGCTGAACAGAAGTTAACATTATGTTGTAAATCAACTGTGAGTGAGAAAGTCGCTCAGTCGTGTCCGACTCTTTGCGGCCCCATTGACTATACAGTCCATGGAATTCTCCCGGCCAGAATATTGGAGTGGGCGTTATTAGTTCCTTCTCCAGGGCACTGTACTTCAGTAAAACTTTTTTAAAAAGAAAAAAGATGTTAGGGAAAGGGTAAACAATTCTTTAGAGCATCAGGACTGACTCACTGCTATGGAGTCACGGAGTCAAACCTGAACCACTGTCTCTCCCTCTGTGTCGGTGGCACATGTGGTTGCCACAAAGCTGGAGTCCTTGGCTGCTGGGTTTGGAGATTGGTTACATATAAGGGGATTGAACAAATAAGTAAATCTGTCATTGTTTAGTCGCTCATTCGTATCTGACTTGTGATCCCATGGCCTGTAGCCTCCAGGCTCCTCTGTCCATGGGGTTTCCCAGGCAAGAATGCTGGAGTGGGTTGCTATTTCCTTCTCCAGGGGAACTTCCTGACCCAGAGACCGAACCCTCATCCCCTGCATTGCAGGAGGATTCTTTCCCAATCACCTGGGAAGCCCAAATAAGTATCTACACTGGAGGTCACTGAAGCCAGTCTTCTCATTGTCAGAGAATGGACTTACAGAGTTGGAAAGGGGGAAGACTAGAATAAATCTTGAGGTGTTGGATTGGAATTGGAGGTATGCGGATGAACATACAGCTTTTAATATATGTAGATAAATGTAGAAATAGTTGTATACGTACATGTGTATAATATACATACACGGAACCTTCTGTAACCACGGCCATGGAACTGGAGATACGGAGAGCCCACTATACTACAGTATTTTATATAAAGGACTTGAGCATTCAGGGATTTTGGTATGGTTGTGGCTGGCAGGGGAGGGGGTGGACTGGTGTGGTTCTGGAACCAATCCCCCATGAGTACTGAGGGCTGACTGTACATCCCCTAGACAGGCCAAGAAGCAATGACCCCCAAGGGCAAGCTCATATCTTGATTTCTGAATACCATGCAGAACCCCAGGGAGATTCAAGGAAAGTACAAAATAAGCTTGGAGCATCTTGTTCCAGAAAGTAAGAATGTGCTCAAGGAATGATGGAGATGTGTCTAAAGGATTCAGAAATCAGATTAAAGGGTTCCCTCTGATTTTATCTCGAACAGTTTGATCATCAAAATTCATAGTGACAGAAAAGGATTTTATTTTTTTTCAGTAGTGGATTTTAACTCTGTGAATAAAAATAAGAATCCACTAGTTTCTAGAGATATGAATAATTAAATAATTGGGGAAAAAGAAAAAGCTTTACAGTAAAATGGCAATACGTGTAATTTATTAACTAAGAAGTACAAAATGCTTAATTTTGCAGTAATGAGCACAGTGGACATATCTTAATCAAGTGATAAGAGTTAATACCACCAGTAATGAAACAAGACAAATGTAGATGACGCCTAAGATAGAGATGGAAGCTTTGAACTCACCTATGATGAAAACAGAACCATTCACTTCCATTTTTGAAAGATGTTTTCGCTGAGTATAGAATTCTAGGTTGACTCCTTCACCCTTTTTCAGCACTTTGTAGATGTCATGCTAGTGTTTGCTAGCTTACATAGTTTTAAAATCAAAAGTCTGCTGTAGTTCATATTG